CTCGGCTTTAAATGTTGCTAACGCCTCTTGGCGCTGCTTCGCTAACTCTGCCTGGCGTAGCACGGGGAACCCATGAACTGGTGCTCAAGCCCAGGTTTAAAGATTACAAGAATTTTATTTCTTACCTGGGAAAATGTAAGCGTTGTTGCCTTGGCCCGGCTTGAAGGTTCTGCCGTCTTTCAGAGTCACCAGCTCGAAGGGACTGCCACTTGCAAACAAGCAACGGCCCTGTTAAGCAGAAGAATCCTCCCATTACTGATGGCTGGGAGGGTGAAGGGGAGATTTAGATTTAATTTAGATTTTAATAGGAAAAAATTCCTTTCCTGAAAGACTTTGGAAGCACTGGAACAGGTTGCCCAGGGCAGTGGTGGAGTCCCCATCCCTAGAAGTGTTCAAAAAACGTGGCGCTTGGAGATGTGGTTTAGTGGTCATGGTAGTGTTGGGTTGGCAGATGGACTTGATGACCTTAGAGGTCTTTTCCAACCTCAATGACTATGATCATACTTTTACGGCTGAGAGCTCCACGAGGAGTGAGTAACGCCTTTTGCTCATCCTTTCTCTGATTTTCATCAGCACGAAACACTACAACAAATCTAGAGTTTGGAGTGTGAAATACATGTCTGTAAGGAAAAAATCCTCCATCTTCTTTGGAGTAATATCATTGTTTCAAAATACTGAAGGCTCCCCACATCCACTACGTTTGAGAAGAAATTACACCGTCCTGCACGACATCTTGGTTTCTAAACTGGAAAGACACGGGTTTGATGGACGGACCACTCGATGGATAAGGAAGCGGCTGGATGGTTGCGCTCAAAGAGTTGTGATCAACGGCTCAATGTCCAAATGGAAACCAGTGGTGTCCCGCAAGGATCGGTACTGGGACCAGTGCCGTTTAACATCTTTGTCGGCGACGTGGACGGCGGGATAGAGTGATAGGACAAGGGGAAATGGCCTAAAACTGCAAGAGGGCTGATTTAGATTAAATATTAGGAAGAAATTCTTCACCATGAGGGTAGCGAAGCACTGGAACGGGTTGCCCAAAGAGGTTGTAGATGCGTTCAAGGCCAGGTTGGATGGGGCTTGGAGCAACCTGGTCTAGTGGACAAGAGCTGTCCCTTCCCATAGCAGCAGGGTTGGAACTAGATGATCTTCAAAGTCCCTTCCAACCATTCTATGATTCTATGAATTACCAAAGAAGCTAAAGATGTGGGAACTACGTTTCGATGGCAGCGGAGGGATCAAAATACACGGATGCATTTGAGGACCGGACTCGAGGACAAAGAAAATCAAAGCTCAACAAAAGCCCGTGCGAGACGCGGAGTGGCAGAGGCCACTAGAGCATCGTCACGCTTGTACAGGTGCCATCTAGTGGAAAAAGAATAAGGAATAAAAGGTTAGTGACATAGGATTGCTTCCTAAGATTTCACACCAGCCGGGATGAGGCTATTCCTGAGGCCAGAGACATGTGGGGCTGGCAGCTCTGATCCCTAATTGCCTGGCAAACGTCGTTAGTTAAACAACAAAGAAAAGTCAGAGCGGATTTTCTAGGTAATTATTGTATCTTGGAGGGGAAAAGAGTATAGAAAAAACGGTTTGAAGGGCAAGCTACGGGTAAACAAACGTTTCAGAGGACTAAAGAGCATTATGAAAACAAATATTGGATATGGAGCAAAGTCTACATTGGAAAATTTATTAAGGGCTGGAGCAAAATTACATCTGATTACTTGCTGACCAGCAATATTTAATTCTCCAAATAATCGGTGTCTAAAAATAAGAATTTATGGAAAGTGGTGAATAAAAGGATGCCTGGATTTAATATAGGGGGAAAAAAACCCTCCTCTCTCTGTTTGGCACAAATTTTTAAAACTGCTTCTGCATCTGACAGCGACAAATACCTTGAGGTCCAACTCCTTGGGACTTGACATGCAACCACCTCTTCCCTGAAAACATCTATTGCTCTCTCGACATCCTAGAAAAAGCGCACGGAAAAATGAGGCTGATCCTCCCTCTAACAGCGCCGCTGGCCTCCTTCAGTCAGAGATGCCAGTAGTTTTTACATTTATTTATGTCAGCTAAAAGGCTTGGCTGTCTAACTATTGTTTATTTTCCATCCAAGATGCTGAGATGGAATTTTATATCCTGAAACACTGCCCAACTTGCTATTCTGGCTAATGAGAGATATCCAAGAGATAATAAACCACCTCAATATAAAAGGCTTCCCATTTATTATTAAAAATTAAGATCTAGATGTCGTCCACAGGCTGCTAATTCCTGCCTAGGGCTCACTTTGGACCTGCAAATCTCTGTAGCAAGAGTTCCCTCCGAGCTGACAGGCCCAGGAACAGGGAAAAGAATCTGGGTGCCAACTGGAGAACGCCGGAGTCCTGCCCTTCTGAGGTTGTAACGCTGGAAACCGAGCCCCAGTTAACAGCAGAAGGAAGAAGTTTGTAGTTCTGCATCAAGAAAACAAGAAAAGATCTCCACCCAACTCATTTTCACGTTATGAGTCACTAAAAGAAATTTTTTAAAAAGTCTTTTCATGAGGCCCACCCCTTCAGTCTGCAGGCAGGCTCGGTGGACAGAGGGCGAGATCACAGCGAGCTGGAATCCTTGATGTAAAAGCGAAGCTCGAGATGATGAAGGTTTTTTTTTTTTAATAGAAAAATTCGTGCGGAAGGATAAACGACTTGCTTCCTTCAAGGCAATAATGTGTCCTGGCCGACACGCAGATAAGATCTGGACAGGCTGGAGAGCTGGGCAAAGGGGAACCTCGTGAAGTTCAACAAGGACAAGTGTAGAGTCCTGCATCTGGGGAGGAATAACAGCTACTGGTACAGATTAAGGGGACGTCCTGCTGGAAAGCAGCCCCGTGGAGAAAAACCTTGGAGTCCCAGTGGAGAGTAAGTTGTCCATGGGACAGCACCATGCCCTTGTGGCCAAGAGGGCCAGTGGGATCCTGGGGGGCATTAAGAAAAGTGTGTCCAGCAGGGCTGGGGAGGTTCTCCTGCCCCTCTGCTCTGCCCTGCTGAGACCACCCCTGGAATCCTGTGTCCAGTTTGGGGCTCCCCAGTTCCAGAGAGACAGGGACCGACTGGAGAGAGTCCGACAGAGAGCTACGAGCGTGATCAAGGAACTGAACATCTCTCCTGTGAAGAGAGACTGAGAGAACTGGGGCTGTTCAGCCTTTAAAAGGCTGAGAGGGGACCTTATTAACATATTAAAATGATTTGAGCCCTTGCATTGTCACGGAGAAACATTTCTATCGCCGAGCGCCGACGTTCCTAAACGTTCCGTACCTCCGTTAACGTATACGCTTCCTCTGCCGTGCATTCGGCTTTCACCGTGGGGTTACTCAGTGCAAATATGATGGGGCGCTCGTTGATCGAGGCCATCGCTTTGATCACCTCCTGAGAAAAGAGCCGCCCAGCTCCCGCAACTCCTGAAAGGCACAAAAATAGAACCGCTTGCTCGACCGCCTCGGGGCAGATGACAAGTCTCCCACCACGCAGGTACAACTCCATGAACATTTGTCCAGCAGCCACAAACTTCAGGGTATTGTTTTTTTTTTTCCCAAATAAATCACGTGCAAAGGAAATCGGGAAATAATCCCATCTGCCCTCTGCAGACAGACAGGCCCAGTTAGAAATCAATACCCCATATGTCTGCGATCTAACAGGTATTGGTGACCTGAGGTATAAAACAGCTCCTTCAAGCCACACTGTTGGCAAATTCTGGCCGGAGAAGCTGACTAGGGGAAGGAAGGGTTGGAAAAACCAAAAAAATTACTCAAGTTAAGGGACTCCCATAAAACAGAAAGTGTTTGGGATTGCTCTCTCCCTTGCTGCTGGGGAAAAGATTCTATTTTTGTCTTCCTCTTAAGAGCTCTTTATGACAGTTTCAGTTCCTTGTGGCCGTGCAGTCCTTGAGAACATGCTCGGAGTTTTCTAAGAAAGGTCCAACAGCTGGGCAAGAACTAGAGGAAGGAGTCAGCAAGGACACGAGACGCAGAAGGAGACACAACCCAAAAACCGATTTCACATTTCATCTTTTTGATACCAGCAGACTGTCACGACTCCGCGAACAACCCGACGAGGGAACCGCGGAAACAAGAATAACCTCCCTTACCAATGATAGCTGAAGGCCGAAGTATATTCACCGCTTCTACAAACGTCTTTGGTATCTGTTCTGGAGCTTGATGGGTGAATGGTTCTTGATTGGAATCCACTTTTTGTTCTCGGCCCTGTAGATAAAAAGTCAATTCTCTGCATGAGGAGGACACGGAAAGCACTGGCTGTCTGCAGTGTGGTGTTTCAAGGCGTGGAGCACCCCTACCTGAACCAGCAAACCGTATTTATCGAACATCCATATCCTCCTGTAGGCTTCTTCGGCGGAAACGCCGCTTTCCATCATGGCCATGACGATGAGGTTGGCGATTCCCAGGGCGGCCTTGTGGAGAAAAAAGGAATTTCTCTTTTTAACAAGTCAACAAAGAGGCCTTTTCTCACGAACACCACCCTGCTCGCCATTCCCCATAAAAAAAAAAAGAAATAATTTAGTAGGTCGGCCCTGAAACGCGACGTTCGCCTAAATGGGGGGAAACTCCCGGGATCAACAGCGTCGCATCTTCGGGTGAAAGAGAGAGGCAGCTCTTCTGGCGACCGTGGCCCCACCGGTTCAAGGGTGACGATAAAGCAAACAATGAGACCAAATTAATGCTGTCAAGAAACCACGGTTTCGTGTCCAGCTGCTTTCTGAACCTCCCTCTGCTCCTGCTGCCTGCAGTGGCAGAGAAGGCAGAAAACTCCCCAACATTCTAAAAATTAACAAGATGTTCTTACCCTCTTTTGTTACTAAATCATCAATTTTCTGGTAAATTCTCTTTCAGCTACACGCAAGGCCCTGATGCTTTTGGCAAGTCCGCGTCCGAAAGCGAAAAGATGAACTTTTTACAAACGTTCAACACCTTTCGAATCATCAAGTCCCTAAAAAGCTCTGTAACGCGACTCGGAGAGCATGAGTCTCCACAAATCCTACAGAACCCGAAACCGTACGGTTCGATCTCTTGTTCCTCTAGAGCCCTTAAAAGAACTCACCTCTCCTGCTCCGAGGAACAGCACTTTCTGCTCCGCGAGCGGTTTCCCAGTGGCTCTCTGTGCTGCCAGCAGTCCCGCCAAGGCCACCGAAGCCGTCCCTTAAAAGTAGCAAACCTAAGGTGAGCTGAACAGATCTACGCGGCGGATTTTAGGCAAAAGCTTCGGCGGAGACGTTAGGGACCGTAAAACGAAGGGCGCACCTTGAATGTCGTCGTTGAAGGTGCAGTATTTCTCTCGGTATTTCCTTAGAAAGCGAAAAGCGTTGTGGTTTCCAAAGTCTTCAAATTGGATCAGGGTGTTCTGGCCGTACCTACAGAACGAGGCAAACATTCCTATCGTTAGGCAACAAAAACAAGTCACCGATTATCTTTGGAATGAGGACGTCCTCGTGCTTTCGCCGCTTAAACCAATTCTGGGTGGATTTAACACATAAACCATAAGCAGCGCGTTCCAGGTCACGGAGAAAATCACTACAGAGCCAGGAATAGAGTCTTTTGATTTCTTTATTCCTTAAATGACTCTTGGGGTTGGTTTTTTTTTTTAAACCCCCAGCAATTATCGTCATACCTGTCTGTAATGGCTTCCATGAATTCATCGATTAGGTCATCGTAGACCTGCGAGCGATCTCTTTTTTGGTAGAGGCCCATATAAAACGGATCTTTTAAGAGCGTCTACAAAAGAACAAATCCGAGAAGGCAGAGGGATGAATCGTTTCCTCCGGATACGCTTTCCAGAGGGTTGCAGTCAAACATTTCACGCAGAAATGGCATTTCCGTAGCCACTGTAACTACCTCCAGTCTGCATCAACGTTCAGTAATTTCAGCTGGCGCTTGAGGTCCGCGCTGGCTACTTTTAAACTGGACCAAATCGATAAAACCGCTTTAATAAATCCGATTCGCGTTCCCAGAGGTCGACCTGACTCTCTTTGTTTTATTTTTTTACGGCGTTCCAGCATTTAAATCACTTCCGAATTAACTGACAGTTTTCAATCATGACATGTAACCGTGCAAAGTAAAATCATTTACCCTTACAAAAGGGGTAAATCTTACAGAAAAGATTTGGGTTTATGAACTTGTGGCAGACAAAGTTCAGTTAAACTCACTGTATTATCAGTTCCAACGTCGATGCACACGGGCAAGCACTTATCTGGATGTATTCCTGCACAGGCTGTATATAAACAAAGTTTTCCGACTGGAATTCCCATCCCGTACACACCCAGGTCTCCGAGACCCAATATTCGTTCTCCGTCGGTGACGACAACAGCCTGAAACCAAAAGCAGGGGAAACGCTCTACGACCGCAGCCAAGCAAAAAATAATTTACTGGGAGTATTTCCCTCGAAGCAACGACGCTTCGATATTAGAATCTGCCACGTTCCTTTTTCTTAGACCCAAACCCGCCGCCCAAATCCTTGAGGGCGAAGTGGGAAGGATTCAAACGCGGCTTTTTTGATTTTTACTTGCAAAATCCAGGCGTCGAAAAAGTTTGTAAAAGTATCCTTCACCTCATCTCCCCTTGCGGTTCTCGACCCAAGAGGGCCACGTAGGATTTTATGCCAAAATCTGAGCCTCTCAGTGACCACTTCTCTGTCCTTCTTTAAGGAGAGAGACCAGTGGTGTGTCCGCCAACATCTCCCCAAATTTGAAATAATGAAGTAAAATAAAAGCCTAATTCTCATCGCTGTTTGCTCAAACCATAAATTGAATATTTAGGATAAAACGCTGCTCTTTGAGAGACGCGTCACCTTCATCAGCTGATTTTGCTGTCGTCGCCAGACGACGATGCATTATTTAGTATTTACATTTCCACCAAATCCTCACGAGTTTGAAGAAGCTCAAATAAAAACTGGAAAAAGAATTCCAGTTAGTACCTTAACGTCGTTCTCTGGCCAGTTGTTCACAATTGACCTGATATGGCCTCTGTCCGAGATTGAGATGAATAAACCTCTGAAAGAAAGAGGAAAAAAAAAAAAAGCAGAAATATTTTAGTGGTGGCACTTGGAGATCTCGAGCAAGGTCTCTTTTTTTAGGAGGAAAAGGGGCATAAAAGGCTCAGCAGAGGCTATAACAGAGAAAATTCCCAACATTTGGAAAGTGCTGGTTCTTGGAAAGGAACGAACACATCCTGAAAAGGAAATAAAAGGTTTCTAAACCTCGGGCAAGTATAGAAAGAATGATAAAAAAAAGTAGGAGCAACGTAAATCCGTCGTTCTTACTTGGGTCTCCTGAAGATGTGGCCGTACTGGGAGCAGGCAAGTCCTACCGTTGGCGTGTACACGATTGGCATCAACCGCTCGATATCGTCTTGTAATACCCGATAGAATAATTTCTCGTTCCTCTCTTGGATTCCCATGATGTAGATATACCTGCAAGGAAGCAAAAGAGAAAATAAAACATGACGCAAAAACCACTCGTCGTTTCACATTTCCGCCGAATGAAAGAGGGCGTAGAGAAAAAAAACCAAACTTGCTTCATATTATTTCTTCCTGAAATTGCTGCTTCCACTCAAGTTGGGCTAAAAAAACGTTGGAAGAAGAGCAGCACAACGCAAAAGTTGAAATTAAAGCGCTGGATCTGATATACTATGCATAAAAAAATAAAAAAAGCTCTTTTCAAAGGCCTTTTTTTTGCAAATTCCCCTTCCAAACCACCGCGGATCGGTTCGTATTCAGCCTCGCTGAGCCGACAAACCGAAAGACAATGCTTTTTGCAACGCCGCCTTCGGCTACGGCAGCCGGGCGCCTCGCCAATACGGGCGACGCGACCGTTCCACGTCAGCGAGTGGCACGACGCGGTTTTCATGCGAGACAAAAGAGTTTTGCTGTGGTCCAGTAAGCCTCAAACCATTCCAGCTTTTTGGAGACCGCGTATTTTAGTTATTTATTTATTTTTTTTACGCGCGGATATAGCCAGGCTCATCTGGAAACGGCAGCGGGATGCTAAAAAACACGCAATGCTTAAAACAAAAAATCCAAATAAAAATCAAATTCCTTCCAAATCAGTGGGTTTAAGAAAAAATTGTTATAAAAAATCAAAATTCTAACCCTGTAACTCCTCTCTAGCAGGAGCTGCCGCGTGTGATCAACGCTTTTTTTCGGACCTCCACCTCGTTTACCTACACG